ATCCCAAAGATCCAGTCCCCCGGCACAAACAGAGCAATGTTGTGTATGCTGTTCAGTGTCAGGAGGGCTGTGATCAGTCTTACATCGGGGAAACAAAACAGCCACTGGCCAAAAGGATGGCCCAGCACAGAAGATCAACATCATCAGGCCAGGACTCTGCGGTCTACACTCATCTCCAGGCCAGCGGTCACTCTTTCAGGGATGAAGATGTTCACATCCTGGACAGAGAGGAACGATGGTTTGAGAGAGGAGTAAAGGAGGCCATCTTTGTGAAAAGAAATCGTCCATCGTTAAACAGGGGTGGAGGCCTCCAGGTTCAACTGTCCCCCTCTTACAATGCTGTGATTGCTAGTATCACTCGGCCCTCTGTGAACAGTAAACAGCCATCAGTGTGCTAATGATCCATTGTTATGCTGATGGTCCTTCTTGAGTATGTGATCAGCTGGTTTTGGTTGTCAGCAGCAAAACTGGTTGATCCACTCTGAGAAGGTGCTATTTAAGAGACTGAGCTGAGTACAGCTCCTCAGACTGAGGAAGTCTCTCGGATGAGAGACAAAACGTTTCTACATTTTTTTTTGTTGATTTGCTTTGTTTTGTTTTTTTGAATGTCCAGAGGACCAGATTTAACTTTTTTAGATTTTTCTACCTGGATTATTGAGCATGCATCAGGTTATTTTGAACTACAATCTGTGCCCTCATTTACCCATTCATACAGCACTCTACTAGATCTCTACAAAGGTAATTAAACAAAATCATTCTAAAGAGACTAATCAGTACAACCATACACCGATGGGACACACATCGTAGGCAATGAGGGGTTCAGTGTCTTGCCCAGGGACACTTCGGTATGTGACTGCTGGTGGATTCGAACCCCCAACTCTCGCATTGGAAGATGGCTACACTAACCACTCAGCCACAGCCACCCCTGGTTAGACTGGTTCGACATGTTAAAAAGGCAACATTAGCTCAAATGACCACTCTTTCCAACCAAGATCTGCAGAACAGCATCTATGAACACACAACACATCCAACTTTAAAGAGATGGGCTACAGCAAGGTTTATGAGATCATTAAAATCTGATTTTAGTCACATTTTGCACAACATTCCAGATCTGTCAAAGTTGGGGGTTTATTAAGATAATTTTTTCCATTATGGTGATGCATGTTCATAAATCCAGGTACAAAAATCAACAAGGTTGAGGCAATCCTGACCTGACCTGACTTTGTTAGATTTTTTTTCAATTGTTTCTTGTAAAACAGTCATAAGTCAGTCCTTTAACCATGTCTAGACTTAACAACGCTCAGAAGGTTGTTCATATTTTGTGCCGTGTGTGTTTCAGGTTCCAATTCATCGTTCCTAAGAAGTGGCAGAAAAACAGACCAGTATGCATCCATTTAGCTGGAACAGGAGACCATGTGAGATTTATTGATTTATTAATACACTTTATCATTACAAAATGTTGAAAATGACCATGACTGTGCAGATATAAGATATATATTTATTCTTTATACAATAGTATAGGCAAACAATTATTGCAAAGCATAAGTGGGTTTTTCAGGACACGGTTAAAAAACATAATCTGCTTTCATGTTTTGAAATAGTTACCAAGGGTTAAAGAAAAGGTAACCACAATGACAATGTGGTTTAATATAATGTGATATATCCAACAAAGTGAAGTCAGGTCCTCTGGACGGTTTCCTTTTGTTGAAATGTTTGGTCTGAAAAGCTAAAAGCCATGACATTATAGCCCCTTATCCACAGGTCTGGTTCTTGTAGGACCCTATTGGGCCTTATTTGGGCCGGTTCCTTTTGGGACCGGTTTATTTCTGTCTCCACAGTGCCCATAGTTCCCCTTTAGTGGGCGGATCAATAATATAATAATATATATATATAATATTGGGGTTTATGAAGATAATTTTTTCCATTATGGTGATGCATGTTCAATAATCCAGGTACAAAAACCAACAAGGTTGAGACAATCCTGACCTGACCTGACTTTGTTAGATTTTTTTTCAATTGTTTCTTGTAAAACAGTCATAAGTCAGCCAGCTTACCAGCTGGTGGTGCTAGTGCTACATTAAGCTCTTTACTAACCACCACTAACGTGTATTAGAAGAAGAAGAGCTGGAAAGAACACACAACCAAAATGTATATTCTTGTTTCTGTTTTGAACATTCTGCTTTGCCTGTGGCTTTTTCTCCTTTTTTAATGTACACATATATATGTGTGTACATATATGTACACACACACACACACACACACATATATATATATATATGTACACATATATATATTTGTACAAATATATATATATTTGTACACATATATATATATTTGTACACACACATATATATGTACACATATATATATATATATATATATATATATATACATATACATATATATATGTGTGTACAAATATATATATGTGTACATATATGCAGTATATATATATATATATATATATAAGTGTGTGTGTGTACATATATATGTGTGTGTACATATATATATGTATATGTGTGTGTGTGTATATATATATATATGTGTGTGTGTGTGTGTGTGTGTGTGTGTGTGTGTGTGTGTACAAACCGGATTCCAAAAAAGTTGGGACACTAAACAAATTGTGAATAAAAACTGAATACAATGATGTGGAGATGGCAAATGTCAATATTTTATTCGTAATATAACATAGATGACACATCAAAAGTTTAATCTGAGTAATTGTAACATTTTAAAGGAAAAATATGTTGATTAAAAATTTCACAGTGTCAACAAATCCCAAAAAAGTTGGCACAAGTAGCAGTAAGTGGCTGGAAAAAGAAAATTGAGCATATACAGTGAGGAAAATAAGTATTTGAACACCCTGCGACTTTGCACGTTCTCCCACTTTGAAATCATGGAGGAGTCTGAATCTTTCATCTCGGGTGCATGTCCACTGTGAGAGACATAATCTAAAAAAAAAAAAAAAAAAACAGAAATCACAATGTATGATTTTTAAATAATTATTTGTGTGTTACTGCTGCAAATAAGTATTTGAACACCTGTGAAAATCAATGTTAATATTTGGTACAGTAGCCTTTGTTTGCAGTTACAGAGGTCAAAGGTTTCCTGTAGTTTTTCATCAGGTGTGCACACACTGCAGCAGAGATTTTGGCCCATTCCTCCACACACATCTCTAGATCAGCCAGGTTTCTGGGCTGTCACTGAGAAACACGGAGTTTGAGCTCCCTCCAAAGATTTTCTATAGGGTTTAGGTCTGGAGACTGGCTAGGCCACTCCAGAACCTTGATATGCTTCTGTAGTGAACTAAGCCTCAGGTCAAATCCTGACCTTGAGGGCCTTCCTGGGACAAGAGCTGTATTTCATTGATTTGAGTCCAGAAACACAAGATTAAGTTCATCCAGAGACTTTCTAAGTGTCCTGCATTGATCAATTGAAAGAACACTCTCTTTTTCTATTATCATTACTATCTTACAAATGTCTTGATAATCAAAGTGTGTTTAGTTCAAACCATTTTTAAATGTTGAAGTGAACTACTCATTTTAAATCAACTGTGAAACAGTATTAGTGATTTTTTAATCCTCATTCAAAGTAGAAATCAAGTTAAGGTCTGTTACAGAGTAATTATGCATTTTCTGATTTTCTGTCTGAAATGAGCAAGTGTAAGTTGGTCCAAGGTTGGAGTCAAACGCAAACAAGTTGTTGGAACGAACTGTCATGTTTTTAAATCCTCTCAGACGTAAATAGAGAAGCTGGCACCTGTTTTCCCCCAACTTGCCTAAACATTTCTCTCGTCTGTCTCAAAAACATCTTCTGTCTGTTCCAAAACAATTTTTCTGTTTTTCTGACTTCTAGTGACCTCTTACGTCACAAAAACACACCCCTGATTAGCTATTTCGGCCAATCAGGACTTCCCAAATGAACCGGAAACAGAACTCTTTAAATGCCGGCACTTCCTAGTTCAAACCAGAGCAGTGGGGTGGGAGAGCAGGTCAGTTCGGAGAGCAAAACCGAACAGAAGAAGTGCTGGAGAGAACAGGAGGTTCAGACATGATCCGCAGTTCTTCCGAGTCTTGTGGGAATTATGAAATCTTCCACATCTGAGTGGAGCCTCTGACGGACTTACTCCTCTTGTGAGTCCACCAGTGGGGTGAACCTGTGTCGGACGGAATACCGGCACTACTTCGGACGATTCACAGCTGTTCCTACGGAGACGCTGAAAGGGTGCGTTAAATGGAACTCCGTACCAGTGGAGACACCTTCTACAGGTAAAGAGTTGATTGACACTACCTAAGTGTACCGAGGAGGAAGCTGAGATCTTAATGGAGCGTGCCGTTCTGATACCGACACATATTCACTCATCCATTTTTTCCTCTCCATTTAAACTTCATTTCCATCTTTAAACTCTTCTATCTTGCCAGTAATTCATCCAGATATTTTCAGAAATGTCTGTTGGGTTAAAGTCGCAAGGGAAATCATGGCCGTATGGTTTCCTAATTATAAAGCTTGCTAATTAATTATGTTGTTGTTGAAATCAATTTGCCAAATTAATGTAAATGTCTGACGTTAAACTTTGATTCTGTTAATAAATGACCGCATTCATTTGATGGGTCAAAGAAAATTGACGTCTCACGTTACGTTTAATTATTCAATGCACGATATTATTCAGTCCAGAAAAATGAAAGAATCCGTTTAATTTATGCATATATCACATATATATGTTCATCTACATCTGGTGGCCCGTAACAGGTTCATGAATGGACTGTTATTCGTGTAACAATTGAATTTATCATGTTGGCATAAAGAGTGCAGGTTGCTTTGTGAAACGAAGCGTTTTTGCAGCTGCGGTGCTCGGAGAAAATACAGCAATGTTCTGTCGCTGTGGTGTTTTGAAAGCTGAAAGTAATGTCAACGTGTCATTTTAAAGCTGAAATGTACGTCTGTTGTGTGTAAAAAGCTGATGAGCTGTGAAAAACGTGGATTCTGTTTAAACGGACGGGGGTTCTGGCCCGGCTTGGTTCTGATAAGTTCGAACGAGTGTTTTAAATGGATGGAGAGACATTTTTGACATCTGAGCGCCGACTCAGTGAAGCTTTGAGAGTTGATAAGTTACATTATTAACAGAAAATAGTGCGTTTTGACAGTTAAAATGACGAAAATTGACCGGAATGTTCAGGCTAAGTGCTAACACGCTAGCTGAAATAGCGAGCGGCGATTGGTCGAAAACCGTTGTTTGAAACGCCCTGATTCGCTGAGAGACGTGTCTGTCGTCACTTCCTCTGATGTCAGGTCGTAAAACCCACCCCCGTTGCTGTTCTGTCATTGGTAGATTCAGTCACGTGACCCGGAAATGAAGCTCGTCTTCATAGGGAATTTCAATCTGCTGTTTAAAGTTGAAAAACGCTTTAAAGTTGGTTCTGATCCGCTGCTCCGTTTCTTTGAAGCCTAATCGCTGAAACTTTGCCACGTTTAAGTTTTAAATCCGTCATTAAATGGTGTCTTTGGACCACGCTAGCCGATGCTAATTTTAAGCTAACAGCTAACGACCGGATGTCACCGAAGCCACAGGAAGTCATCGCGACTCCTACTGGTCGTCACTAACGGTGTTAGGGTTAAAATAAAATAAGGTTATACTGCCACCTCCTGTGACTTGAACTTGAAATCACAGTTTCACTTCGTTTTTAGGATATTTTGGTGAAAGTAAACGTGTTTATTTCTGTCAGAAGCATTCTTGGGTTAATAAACGTTCTTCAAGCTGAATTATTACTGTTATCTTGC